CGTAGTAGTATACGTAGTAGTACGTAGTAGTAGTAGTAGTAGTAGTAGTAGTAGTAGTAGTAGTAGTAGTGTAGTAGTAGTGTAGTAGTAGTGTAGTGTAGTGTAGTAGTAGTGTAGTAGTGTGTGTGTGTGTGTGTGTGTGTGTGTGTGTGTGTGTGTGTGTGTGTGTGTGTGTGTGTGTGTGTGTGTGTGTGTGTGTGTGTGTGTGTGTGTGTGTGTGTGTGTGTGTTTCTAACAGACTCAGAGAACAGCTACACACTGAGCTGTGGAGTGCCCGTCCAGCCTGTTAAAGCTCCTCCGAAGAGGAACACCACCAGTGCTTTACCCACCTGTGGCGGTACAGTCGGACTTTCTGTTACTCTCAGTCAAAATATGACTTTTAGACTTTACACATCTGTCGTTTTTATAATAAAGGGTGATTAGCAAATCTGTGTGTCTCTTCTGCTTATGAATAAAGACACGCTGGCCGCACCCATAAAGCAGAAGGCCAGGTTTAAGATCAAAGACGCCAAATGTCACCTGAGGCCCCGAAACAAGGAGAAACACAGAGACTCCTCCAGACAGAACCTACAAGGTAAACACATTGTACTGAGTTTAGCTTCATTTGACACACTACGCTTTTATTTGAAGTGAAATTGTAAAAAACTGCAGTTATTTTTGTGTTGATTAAAACATATTGCTCCTCCTCCTCCTCCTCGTCTTTTTGACCTGGAAGGAGGCCAATTCCCTTGCACAGACGACTGCCAGGTAACATTTGTAAACCTCAAGTGCGACTCTTCTAAGAAGCGCCGACGAGGACGCAAATCTCCTTCCAAAGAGGTTTCCCATATCACAGCTGAGTTCGAGATGGAGATGAGAGAGGAAGAAGCATCAGGTATGTTCTTTCTTACATGATTTGTCTATATCAAATCAGTTTGAAAAATAACAATTGTTTACATGGTAAAATATGAACAGTGTCAGGCTGTGTTTTTCAAAGAAACCTTTAGAATTCGTGTTTTGACCACCAAACCTCTTTTTCCTCAGACACTTGTAACGTGGAGTGTGTGCGGGAAAGGGTGAAGCAGAAGCTGCAGAGCGCCATGCGGACGCTCAGGAAGTCCATCAACAGACAGCAGTTCTACATCCAGTTCTCTGGGACGGAGTACGAGGTGGCCCAGAAACCGTCCAAGGTACTGGAGGGAGTCGAGCTCTGCAGCACGGGACAAGTCCTCCGAGAGGGGAAGTGTGGTGAGTTCAGGGTCCTGCTAGCAGGCGTGTGGAGAAACGGATTACATGTTACGGGTTTACGTAATCAGCATGCAAAAGAAAGGTAACTGTAGTCTCTTACATTTACGTAAAATAATTAGAATCAGTTTACTGGTACATTTTTTTAAAAGGGGGATAACTAGCAGCTTAACAATGTTACAATACAATTTAAAATACAAATATTTGAAAGTTCATGCTGATGCATTACAACACCTTTTTGAATTGCATTAGGTGAACAAAATGACTGTGTATACTTGAATTCATTTGATAAAATAAAACAGCAGGACAAAGTTCAAAACAAGCCACAAAAGTATTCTTCCAAATCATTAGCCACTGTCTTGCTCCTCAGTGAGCTGTGGGCTGGGGACGTTCTACAGCGGGGAGCAGGAGCAGTGTTTGCAGTGTCTTCCCGGGACGTACCAGGACACGCTGGGTCAGCTGTCCTGTGAGCCATGTCCCGGCATCGAAGGACAGGGCATCGCCGGGGCCAAGAACGTGTCTCAGTGTGGAGGTAACTCCCCATCCCATCATTGAAGCAGGGTTCTTGGAAAAAGTCATGGAAATTCAAAATGCAAATTCCAGGCTCTGGAAAGGTTTTGGAAAACAATATTTTTTCCCAAAGTTTTGGAAAAGTAATGGAAATGTAACTAAAGTTGCATCAAATATAATTTATATGTTATCTAATCGCCGAAATAGTAATACTATAATGATATTAAATACTGTATCGTATAGTAATGAAACGTAAAATGGCATTTAACTGTCGAGGTATTTTGCTGGTGAGAGATTTTAGTAGAAGCTAGTAAGCCTATTTGATTTGTTTTGGATAGGCACAACATGTTTCATATGCAGACCTTATTTTCCTGTTCCATGTTAAAATAAACAATTTTCAGTGATACCGCTGAGAAAGAGTAATTTCTTTGGTCATGGAAAATTAGGTAAAGGTCATGGAGAAGTCATGGAAAATCATTGGTGAAAAAGTGTATGAACCCTGTTGAAGTGACTTCAGAACACTTAGCTCTTGCATTCTACCTCCAAAAGTAACAAAACAGTTGAAGTAGTAATCATACTATCATCACTCAACACTTTACTGTATTAGAGCATCTTAGATGTTTCTCCTGCCAACTCCCACTTTTATCCTTGTCATTGCTGAGAATCGCAATTCTAAATGTTTTTTGCGCTGAAGATGTCTTCTATGCTCTGGAAACATGTACCAACAAAATGCATGTATAAACATGTTGTGTTGGTACCACCTAGTGGCCATTCGTGATAAGGGAATCACAGCTACAGCAACAACGGAGCACCACAGACCATTGTTAGTGTATTTCATTTAGGGCTGCACAATTCATCTAAATTCTATCAAAATTGCGATATTGATTAGTACAATATCAAAAAGGCAGAAACAAAAAGGAAGTTGCAGAATTGGATTTTACAGACACAACACAACATATTTGTTTGGATGCACCTAAAAAGTCCCACCATGTTCATTTAGATATGTTTTAATGATGATGAGAACGATGCAAAGAGACCAATCCTTCCTTTACAACTCAAAATACATTTAGCTTTTCTTGAAGTATCTGAGCTTAGAAAGATGGTTACCAACTGATCTTAGACGGAGAAACACTTACATTTCATAGTGTAGAACCTCAAATAGCTTCTCAGTGAAGCTATTGAAACAGTAAGAGAAAAAGTACAACAGGTGATTCTCTTGTGTCCTTCCCTCAGGTCAGTGTCCAGCGGGTCACTTCTCTCCTGACGGCTTTCGTCCATGCCTGTCCTGTCCGCTGGGCTCCTACCAGCCTGAACCGGGCCGAGTGCTCTGCTTCCCCTGTGGAGGAGGCATCCTGACCAAGTTTGAAGCATCAACGGCCTTCAGGGACTGTGAGGCCAAAGGTGAGTCTTTGTGTCAGACATATCTTTATGTATACTGTATGTATTTCCCTGCAACATCATTTAATCAGCACTGAGGCATTTCATTCAGTTGGCAAAGTGTATTTAAATGTATTGAGGGGGAGTATGATCATATCCATGCTTTCATTGGGTCTCTTTAATTAAATGCCAGTTTAATCCTTTGCATGATGGCGTGACAGCACATCATTCTGAAGTATTCCACAGATTGTTTTTTAATGTTTTTAGGTTTCCTAGCTTCTCAACGATTGTCAAAACTATTCTGTTTGTCATTCTACCGATATGAACTGATGAAGTGCAGCCTCACAGAGACTGTAGATGAAAATGCGTGTTCAATATTCTATAGATTGCTTCACTTTCTCCTGTGTAATTGGAGCTTTTTATCTGCCACTTTACAAATGTGTATGTGCATACCGACATTTGCAATGACACAAGCCATTTGTCAGCAGTTTCATTGTTACCGCTGTCAGAAAGCCGCGTTCAGATGTGCATGAAATGGCAATTTGCAAAAGTCGATGTTAAAGTCGCCTATACAGGCTTTAGTGTTTTGTTTATGTCTCTGTTCTGTAATCTAGGCATGTTTAATATCACAGCTGCAGCATGTATCTTGTGGATCGTTTATCCTCAGACATTTTGTTCGGTGTGTACTGACACTTCTGTTCCTCCTCAGTGCACTGTGCTCCTGGACATTACTACAACTCAAGCACCCACCGCTGTATCCGCTGCACGGGAGGCACCTACCAGAATGACTTTGGGCAGAACTACTGCATCACCTGCCCCGGGAACACCACCACGGACTTTGACGGCGCCACCAACGTCTCCCACTGCAAAAGTAACCCTGCTCGACCTATACATTTAGGCGTCCATTGAATATCTCACTGGTAACCTACATTTCAAAGTGTTTCTTTCATGTTGCCCTCAGACCAGGTGTGTGGAGGTGAACTGGGAGACTACACAGGCTTCATCGAGTCTCCTAACTACCCTGGAGATTACCCATCCAACGTGGACTGTGTGTGGACCATCAACCCCCCACACAAGAGGCGGATTCTCATCGTAGTACCAGAGATCTTCCTCCCCATCGAGGATGAGTGTGGAGACGTGCTGGTCATGAGAAAGAGTGGTAATACAAAGATAGATTTATCATGATTAAGAATAACACTAATGTTGCCGTCATGACACAGAGACACACACAGAATGTTCTTCTTCTGTGACAGAAAGGATTATGTTGTCACAGGTAGGATTTCAAAGTCATTTCAGACCCATTGACAAGAGAGTACTATTCTAACATGGTTGCACCGTTCCTCCAGCCCTTCCCACCTCCATCACCACCTACGAGACGTGTCAGACCTATGAGCGGCCCATCGCCTTCACGTCTCGCTCTCGAAAGCTCTGGATTCAGTTTAAGACCAACGAGGGAAACAGTGGCAAAGGGTTCCAAGTTCCCTACGTCACTTACGATGGTGAGTCTCCTTTACACAATCAATCTAATCTCACACAGTGATCCATCTGTCTTCAATCTATACACTATATCATTTTGCCCTGCTCATTGTTCCAGAGGACTACCAGCAGCTGATAGAGGACATAGTGCGAGATGGCAGGCTCTACGCCTCTGAGAACCACCAGGAGATACTGAAGGTATTGAGCCAATCAGTCAATTACTAGTCTTTGATGAAAATACATCAAAATGAAGGTTTGAAAAGGTCCTCTCCTCAAATCATTGGTGCAGCCCGGATGACCCCGTGTGTCTGTGTGTTTTCTTCCCAGGATAAGAAGCTGATAAAGGCTCTGTTTGACGTGCTGGCCCACCCTCAGAACTACTTCAGGTACACGGCGCAGGAGTCCAAAGAGATGTTCCCGCGCTCCTTCATCAAGCTGCTGCGCTCCAAAGTCACCAGGTTCCTCAGGCCGTACAAATAGTCGGGATATCTCCAACGTCCTGTCAAAGCCCCCCCCCCNCCTCTTTTCTGATCCGCCCCTGCCCGTCATACAACGTAACATCCGCCTTTACTATATTCCTCATCTTTGACTCCTTTAATAAGTAACACATTGACGCCCTTCCCTCAGTTTGTGCAGCTCTTTTTATAAGGTTTGACCGATATGGGTTTTTTTGCAGACCATTTTTTTAACACAGAAGAAGCTGCCTGATAGAAATTGTGTGTATATATTGTTTCTTTAAATCCAACTATATTATACCAAACTTGTGAAAGCATTAAAGCATGTAAACATGTCACAGAAGAGGAACACAATACAAATATGAACCTGAAAATGCAACTCAACCCCTTTCAACATTACATTATCAAGCTACATGTAATTCATTATAGTCACTAAAGAGACAATGAAAGCAGCTGAAAGGAAACCTGTTTATTAGGGGTTTCAATGACTATTACAGAATCAATGAACCGTCTCATAGTTGGCAAGAAAACACATTTCTCAAAATCTTGGACTATTCCTTTAAAATGTGTTTTCAAACATTTAAAAAAAATCATATATATAATAAAATGATACTTCTTATGATTAGTACAGTGCAAGTATCAGAAAACCATTGTGTCGGTCAAACCCTATTTCTGCACACCATATACTATTTTTTTTCTTTTCCAAAAATCTCCCCCTCTCTCATTTTTATTTCGCTCTTGTTTTTTTCTGTGTTTTTGTGTTGTTTTTGTAATATTTATACTGAACTTGCAGAAGCCCACATCGCAGATTTACAACGCACATACAGACGTGTGAAATGTGTGGACATACAGCAGGTGGACATGCATGATGTGTAATCTGAATTGGATTCCTTTATTGCCCCCTTTGTGCACGAGACAAATGTGTTTTCTATACGCACATTTTAACCATTTTTATGTGGGGAAATCTTAACCATTCCACCTTTAGTATGTGCTTTATCCATTTAAGCACAGGGAAAGATTAAATGGGGTGAATCAGAAAGTCTATATTGTAAAAAAAAAAAATAGAACATATGTAACAAGATGAGATAAACTACCTGCAAGTAACAGAGTGTTACTTTAGAGAGAAATGTATGGAATGTAACTAATATTTGGAACTTTAATTGCACTTGAATTTTATATTTTAAACTGTAGGAAAAAAAGATCTAAGTTACGTTTTTTGTTACCTTTTTATGTATTGTTTTGAAATGTGCCACATGTGGCGGTGAAGAGAGAGACGGCTGTGTCTCCTGTTATTGCCCCCGCACTCATAGCCCATTCACACACACAAAGACAGTTAGATTCAAGCTTTAGCATCTCGTAAATGTATGTAAACTAATGTGCACAGAGAAAAACTCCACGACAGTTTGTTTGTGTATTCACTGCCAGATTTAGCTTCATATCTGAAACATTTCCTAAAGCTGCCAGAGAGAGGAAGCGTCAACATAGAAGCTTCTTGTATGATGGCACTACTTACATGCCTGTTACTTAAAAACTAATTACAATACCTGCATTTATCCAGATGCAGTCTCTTTCCATTAAATAGGAAGTATACCTTTCTTTTATAACCCAACTAAATGTTTCTGTGTCATTCCGAATGGTACTAGTATGTCTATGAAATCCTATAACATGTATTGAAGATGGGCTTTATATATCTGCACAATGCGACTGGAGGCGGGAAAAACATGTATGGTGTGACTGGAGTTTTGGAGGCGAATGTAGTGGCAGTCAGAATAAGAAACATCTCCTATCTGAGTGTCTGTGTGTGTGTGGCACTTGCAGCCTGCAAACTTTATCTGTGTGTTGTTTATGAAGAAGCTGGCCTCCCCTGACGGATGATACAAAATCAGATGAACATCCCCCTTTTGACGTTAAAGCTCCTCGAGAAACACTTTGGATAACATTCCTGAAAAGAGTCTTTGTGCTGAGCATAAAGAAAGCGTGATGATTATAAATGAAAGGACCATACTGGAGGTTTTGTATGTTTTAGCACATGTACTTAAAATGATGTAGACTATCTTCAGTGCAGTATCACAGATTTCCTATAATCCAGGGGTGTAATTTCAACACACTGGAAAAATCAATGTGTTTGATATTTGGAAAAAAACACTCTTTCTTACGGTTTGCTGGAGTTTAAAAAATGATGCAAATGAAAAAAAGGGACATGCGCAGCGTTTATTACAACTGCATGAACAAAACACCCAGATACAAAATGCAGCAAGAAGCTCAAGACTTGCATGGTTTTTGAAAGTGCAGCACGTTTCTCCTGATGGAAGTGTTTTGGGCCGCCCTACTTTCTTTTGTTCATGATATCTACATAAATAATACGTTGCTTCAGCAAACATGTTTTTTAGTATATCTAAATTTTGATTTTCATAGCACACTGAAATAAAACAAAAGGAAGTCAATAAAAAAAATGCGTTCTTCAATCTTTAATCATGTTGTTTATTGGTTTTCAATGGACTGAAGCATGCACAACTACTAGTATGGTCCTGCATGGCACTGAGCTGGTCATAGTTAGGGCATTTCATTCCAAAACAAGATACTAAATGGAAATAACCAGTTAAACAAAAAGGGAAATATTTTTACCGGCATTGACTGATAATCACCCCCTTAAATACTCTTTCACTGAAATTCCAAACCGCCGAATAGCTGCCATACAGATGATTTATGGTATGGCCTACTTCCTGTTTGAGGTGGGCACTGTTCAATATGAGTGTTATGAAAAAAATTACATGAAATGCTCTAACATTTTAATTGAATGTTTTGTTTTCCTGAGAATGTATTCTATTGTGTAAGCGTGTGTGTGTGTGTGTGTGTGTGTGTGTGTGTGTGTGTGTGTGTGTGTGTGTGTGTGTGTGTGTGTGTGTGTGTGTGTGTGTGTGTGAGTGCCTGTGATAGGGAGAGTGCGTTTGTACTTTAGTCCAATTTGTAGAGGAATAATTGTAACGTTTGTGTTAGTCGGTTGTACCCAAAGAGAGAAATTGTAACGCAGTGTTGTGCCATTGTTTGGTCCATGAAACTCCAGTACTGAACAAATTAAATAAAACAGTAGCAGAAAACACACTCCGACTTTTTCTTTTGTCCCTGAATGTGGAACAGACACAGAGGAGCTCTCGGAGCGGCTCTTATCTGCTCATTATATCTCTTATCTTTCCTTAGATGTGGCTCTAAACCCGACTGGCCTAAAGTACGCTTGTGAAAAATGTGGCTGACGCTGCTAATATTCCTCTTATCTTCAAGTGACACAATCTGTACAGGAGATCTGGATGCTACATCAGAAACACTCATCATCATCCACCCTGGCAGGATTCTTTTTCTCCCATTCACATTGTCTCTCTTTGTCTTAGAAGGAAATGGGAGTGAGATAACCTGTTTGAACTTCTGTCAGGTAATCTACACTCCTCCTGGGCATGTTCTAGGACTTGATGAATCTGCTGCTTGCTGTCTAGGTTGCCCATTTTGTCCCGTTCAAATAGCTGTAGGTAACTGTTGCTTTAGTGGAAAGCTTGTGAAGCAAATCAGGTAACTGAATTGTGACCACAGACTCTACAAAGTTCACAAATTCTCCCATTTAAGAGTTTGTTCAGTCACTGTCAGGTGCCTCCGGTGAGGGGTCAGACACATTTGAGAACTCTGAAGGCATCAGTATGCTACAAACAAAGAATTTAGGATTGGTTGACTATCTAATTTAAGCAATGGCATACCAATAAACAGTGCACAGGCAGCGCCCCACTAGCAAAAAGGGTTAATTTATTCAAGCTAATAAACTATTAGATATCTTATACGAGCAACAAGGCAATTTTCACTTTTCAGGCCAATTAAATATAATGTCAGGTGAAGTTATGTTAACAACAAACACTGGTATATTCAATGAAGTCTTTACAGCCACATGTATGGAGTATAACCATGCAAAACACACAAGATACACAATAACAAACCAGCCTTGTAACAAGACCAGATATCAGCATACAGATACAGCTAGCCGTAGAAGTAATAAAATACATGACTCTTGTTATTGAAACAAATCCTTTTTTGTGTACTTGGATCCAAGAGATCCAAATCTGACACACCAAACAGGTGAATGCTAGTTCAGCTAACATGCTAAATGCTACTTCATGTGTTCAAGATGGACTCTGCGGCGTCAATTCTGAATTAACTGGGGAACTTTTACCTCTCCTGAGTTGTGTGTGACTGGTTATAGTTGTGAAAGAGAGGTAGAGGACCCAGATTAAACTATAGATACACAAACAGGAGTATTTTTGCTCCCTTGATCTTCCTATTCTTCCTGCAATCCAAAAATCTGCATTCTAGAAAATATCAGGCAGAGTTTTCCTCCGTAAGAAGCAGCCATAATATTGCTGTTATTACCTGTGAAGTATAAAAATACTGCTTCCACAGAGCGTGATAATCCATCACAGTGTGACACCAGCATTTGGTTTGATCAGAGTTTGTGTTTGAGTGTTTTTTCATTGTCTCTGAACTGAGTGTTTTCATATCCCTGCTGCTCTCCTCCCTGTCAATCAGCTGACTCCAGAACAGAGGAAGTTTGCTCCAGGAAATAAACATGTCACCTTACAAACTTTACAGATGCATCCATGTCCTCTTCTTTGTTGTGTCTCTTCTCAGAACAGCATTTAAATTAATATTCACTTGGCTTTTAAGGACATCCGTAAAAGAATATCATAAGCCTTGATTACAGATGAATCCGTTTCTTTATCCATAAGTGAATGGCCTTTGATAACTGAGTGACAGTGGCAGTCTTCTTAAATGATGGGGTTCAAAGCCTGTTTAAAATATTACAATACTAAAAGTCTTGAGTTGCTTCACCATTTGTGTTGGTCATTAATCAGACTTGACAGGCAGATCGGATGTTATAGAGTTATTTCCAGGGTGTCCAATCAGTATCCGGCATCAGCAGGAAAATGCTACTGTGCCAGATGCTGAGATTACTCTCCCTTTTGCTTTCTTGTTGCCTTTCTATCAGTCGCTCTGCTCAAAGTTCACTGGATATGAAATTATAAAGGGGCCGATTGAGTGACCAAAATGTGACAGAACCATTGTTTCTTGAAAGTTCTTGGAAAATGTCAAACTAACCTTTCAGGCCGAAGAGCTGTGGAATGACTCGTCATCACATGAAGAATGGGTGAAATGTGTAAGCCTTACCATCCCAGCAGGTTCTAGTAAATTGTATAGAAATGGACCACATATGACCAGCAGATGGCGAACTCACTCCAACCTGACATTGTAAGCTTCCTCCCTGACTTATTGATGCATAAATTGAGCTCCAGATTGTGTTCTATTTGTTTAGCTCATTACCAGCCTAAATCCCACTGCTATTACCTGTGGATGAACAGGAACAGACGATGCAGAGATATAATGCTGTAATTTCATTGAGCATCCCAACACTAATGTGGGAAGTTGCAAAAGATCAAATAGGGTTTAATGATAAAAAACTGTGTTTTGTATTGTTTGGTTTGATTATAAAGCAAAAGATCCTGCCAAAACCCGAGTAACAGTAATATTGCTGAAGATAGATAGTCGATAGAAGCTTGTTTACCTTAATATTTAATTGAATACAATTATTGTAGCCTACTTCAACTTATTTTTTATAAAGTATTATAGCCATTGATAATTCAATTTCACTGCAATTAAGAGGGAAATAATGTAATTTTAAAGCCACATAATTAATATAATATAGTTATAAAAGTTCCTTTCCAGATCGAGATTTTACATTAAAAAACAATTGCGTTTTTGTTTGTGTCTAGTTGGGGCTCCTTCTCATGTTTCAGATCCACCAATGAGACATGTCCCTTTTCATATACATAGATTAATGTGCCTAATGCGTGTACTTGAAAAATGTAGGCTAAAGTATTTTACCTGCTAAAATCAACCTTCTACTCCAGGAATAATTTGCATGCAGGACTTTACATTGTAATAGGTTATTCGGGGATGAGAATACCTTAAATTCTCCAAAAATACATTACCCAACCCAACCCTAAATTAAAAAAAAATCGGCAAAAAGCTTGTGGCCCATGTAGAGGCTCAGTCCTGGCTGTGGAGGACCGGGATTTGAACCTGACCTGGGGACCATTTGCGCATGCCATCAGCTCTGTCTGAACATATATTCTCAGTAGTATAACATCATGAAGACTAAAATGTTACAGCCAAATAACCACATGTTTGTTCAGTGTGCTGGGGGAATAATGGACCAATGCCCTCAGTGTGCATTAACTCCTGTTCCCGGCCCTGGTGGCCCCGGTGAGCCTCTAACCACCAGCGGCTTCTCTGTGGATGTGTGACCGGAGGGGGTGAGCTCTGTGTGGCTGCGCAGAAGCTCTCGGTCCTCCCCCCTTTTTATGCTCCTCCTTGTACCGATCACCGGGAAACATGGTGAATTAGAGAGAGAGAGAGAGAGAGAGCCAGAGAGAGAGAGGGGGCTGTATCTCCACCACGCACTACACCGGTGCACCACGGGGTTCGCATTCAAACTGACCAGCGGGTCTCTGCGCGCACACCGTCCTCTGCATCCATCACCGAGCAGCAGCTGAACCGGAGCCGGTAGGTTGATTCCTTCTCATTTTCCTCCCGGTGCATTTGTGCAGATGTGTCTTTTTATGCATGCCACACCGCAGTACTTGAACTCCAAAACATCGATGCGTATTTCCAGGTTAATCTAAGCTGGGCAACCTGATGAATGTGTGTTTTTCTCACACGGTCCATGAGTAACCTGCATTTTAATAATGGCATGCGTTCCATGTATTGCACTTTAAAGCATGGAACGCTTTTATGTTGGATCCGATTTCAGAAGCATCCAAAGGACAAAGTCTCCAAGGCTCACCAGAGCCCCAAACATCCCACATGTCAGAGAAAAAGGCAGTCAGGGCAGCCTGTGTGACCAAACTTTTATAGTTCACTGCAGCCTGCAACACATTAAGAGGAGAGGGACACTTCTTCACAATGTGCTTTAAGCTGACCAGTCACTGAAGACTAAAATATCCTATTAAATGTACTATGTTAAGGTTTGGAAAATGTGCATTTCCAGTCAATAGTGTGTCAGTGAATAACATTTGGTTAGATGAAAAGGAGGAAAGTCAATTAATGGTTCAGAGAAAAATGCCTTTGTTGAATCTGTCTTGTAATTTTTGTATCTAGATAAGATTTTCCTCATAATTTCTGAACTCATGATTCACAGACTTAAGGCTTCATATCATACCAGAACACCATTAAGACCAGGCGGCTATACATAAAACAGTTACTCTGATAATAGTCACGGGCTCATATATGACGGCCGTTTGTTAAATATGAGAATGTGCCCGAGAGGAGAGAGCATCAATCAGACAGTCTCTCCGGTTTCTGCATGTATAATCCGAGCTCTGTAAAACATGCTGAAATGTAGAGGAATCTCTCTTTCCTTCTCAGAACTCAGTCATGTTTTAGAGAATATATTTGCACATTAAGATAAAACGCAGGTTAAATAAAAAAATGTACATTTTTATTTAGAGCCTGAATTAAAAAGTCTTTATATAAATGACTATGCTGAATCTGATGCATCTTAAACTGCAATTAATTAATTTTTTCCCACTTTATCTGTGTTATTTCTACAAATAAAGTGCATGAGCACAGGTTCTTTGCACAGTTTTGTCTTTTAACATTCCAAAGAAAATAATAAAATGGTACGATGTGCTCTGTCTATATCAGTTGACATTGTTGTATTACCTTACTTTATAAATCCTGATCTACACTGTAAACTAAATACTGGAATTAATGTGTTAATATACAAAATGAGCACAAACAGATAAAAAAACTGCTGAAGGATTTGCACAATGTCCACAAATATCCAGAGAAACTTCTAAGAGAATGAAAAGAACAAAAGCAGACGAGGTTCTGCTGTAAAAAAAAAGACTCAGAGCAACCATAGAGGGATGATCAGAAGGAGACATTCAAATATTAAAAAGACGAGTTAAAATGACCACAAAGATGCAAAACAAATACAGGGAGACAACAAAGATATGCTAAATGTCCCTTAGGAGTAGAAAAACAACCACAAATAGACAAAAAAAAGACCAAATAGGACACAACATGACCACAAAAGATGCAAAATGACGGAGAGACACCATAACATCTCAGTCTCATTTGCAGGAGGGCTAACTGTTCCAGGGAGGGCAGTTTGAGGCTGGTGTGGATATAAAAAGAATAATCAGGAATTACCTCTATGTCAGGATACGGATTTTAGCAATAGAGTTTTGACTTTGGCCAGAGTAAGTATGGGATTGAGAGTGGACTAATGTTTGTGAGTGGAAGACGTACTTGCATGATCCAGAAAACAGCAATTTGGCCAAATGTGTTCTCACAGCATCTGCTAATGCATCTTTCTGTCTCTCACTGGCAGTGTGGGAGGCTGTCACTGTCACACACATGACAACAGAAACACATTTTAATATGCATGCACAGGCCCACATACACATCAACCTGCGCGCACAGAGCACACTCATGTAATGTATGCAGCCCTGAAACACATCCACCGAGCATGCTGGGATTTGCCCGTGACAAACAGGCGCAGTGTGAAGTGTGTATCTGTCACGTCGGTGTGCTGTCAGCGTGTGAGGTTGCAGTGAATGAGGAATGGAAATGGCATGGCGGTCCCGGCAGGCTTTGCCAAAGCAGCCTGTCCCCAAATTATCACCTCCGTCTCCAGCATCCCCGTCATCTCAGCAGCTCTCAGCGGTCGCCAGAGCTCCGAAAATGAGCTGCATTGAGGAAATCCATTCTTAATGGGCGACACACGTGTGCAGGCTTCACACACAGTGACAGGGATTCAAAATATTCTATCACTGCAGTATATTATTTCATATTATATAATAATGAAAAGAACATTATACATCGGCATATAAAAGTTACTTTGAAGGAGCAGAAATAAAGGACATTTCTAAATATAAAATCATCCAAGCTCTTGAACTTCAATTTGCAGCCTGACTAAGATTCTGCATAACATCCATTTTTCATTTAGCCTCCTATTCAAGGTGAAAATGCTGCGCTCAGGCGGCTTGTGAGGCTCTGTTGGATTTTAATATCAGATTTAAGTTTATAGATGCTCTTGGACTAGAGTAGCTGCAGGGGATGCAGAATGCAGCGTTCACACCACAGTGCTGTCATTTACCAGCATGCACCTCCACACTAAAATCTAGTAAAAAGTAAAGCATGCTTTGGACTTTTTTTCCTTCTGTATTTTCTGTCAGGATTGAACAACAGTAATTCCCAGGTTGTTGTTTGTTCTTAGAAAAAAGATGGATCGTCTTTTAATCATAAACATCTTGTTATATCATCTGACATTTTGATAATCAGTTTAGTTTCTTTTACTAACCAAGCAGTGAGGCAACAACGGCACAAGTTGTTGAAAGAAAACAGGGGTTTTTTTTACCCCAAAATTACAAAAATACATTTTAACCAATAATCTTAATAACTGGACCTTTAAAAGAGCTCAACAAAAAATAACTCTTATCATAACAGCAACTTAAACATATGTTGACTGAACAAACTGAACTGCCACAATGGCACTTGAGGGGATGTAGTGGCTTGGCCGAACTAAGTAGCAGACGAGGGGTAACTAAGGTGGACACACTATACGAAGCAAACACATTAGTCGCAATTCCCCCCTTGACATGGAAGCACATGGTTTGGCCCAATTGGCTCCAGGATTGAAAAGTCCTCAGTCCTCAGCCACACCTTTTGCTCCACCAGGAAGTAACCTTCGTCAACAAGCACGGTAACTCAAAGACAAACAAATAATAATTGATATACCAAACAAATACTTGTGTTAACCCTACAGGGCTTGGATGTTTGCACATAAACTAAGAAATGTAGGATTAAAAGCTAGTAAACTCAATTTAAACCAACTTTGTGGTGTTTATTGCTGGTGTGGTTGGCTGCAACCGAACCTCCTTTTTAAAACAAACACAGACTCCGATGTTAAAAAATAATTGATGGCGCCAAACCAAGATGATTCACCGACATTTTGGAACCAGTCATCTTTAAAATCTTTTTTGTGTAGCCAATAGGCCTACATTGTCATGAAATTGTGAAACATGCCCATCACAAGTTGGCAGTGGAAGTTGTGACATCAGCAGCTGAAACAATAAACTGTTTATTAAATGATAAACTGTATAAAACAAGTACAAAATATGACCTCATCATATTTAATCCTGTACCCTGACTTGATGGATGACTGTGAAATGAATTGTTTTAGTTTTCACATTTCTGCTTGTTTTTACCGCTGTCCATCCTAATCACACCCTCTTCATCACAGCTCTGTTGTGTCCTACTCAGGTGCCGAGCAGCTGCGGAAAGAAGAAGAAGAAGAGGAGAAGAGAGGAGGGGCCGTTTCTACTAAGCTCACTGTGACTCAGTGAGTTGTTTGAACCTGGACTACCTGCCCACAATTCTCAAGCCAAACTGACCCTCCCAGCCTCCCACCTCGCTGCCCTCCACCTTCTCTGATCTGGTCCCAGTGCCATGGCCTTTACCCTGTCAGAGATAATGGCAGCCAGACGGCAGCAGACGCAGGCTCAGTTGCAGGCCCAGCGAGGCAACAGGACAGCAGTGGAAGTAGACGAATACAGCACCAACCCCACTCAGGCCTTCACCTTCTACAACATCAACCAGGGACGCTTCCAGCCGCCACAAGTCCACATGTGAGTAGAGACGTCGGTCACATGACCATTTTACTGATCATCCTGGAGGAAGTTACTTTATTTCCTGTTTTACTTTTGATTAACTTTCCTTGTTTCTGAACTGAAATTAATGATAATAGAAGTCAATGTTTAAGGTAATGAGTTTTTTGTGTCTCCTTCCTAAAGAGATAAGAGGGAATTAATATCAGTCTGCGTGTTAAATATGTTGTTAGCCTAGCCTAGCATAAAGTCCTGCTCCCCGTCTTTTTGCTTTATGATAGACAGCTAACCTGGCTCTGACCAAAGTGAAAAATCAGTGATTATGCGTTACAACCGTTAGCAACCAGAAAATGACACCAGTAAGGACAAACAGATGAGAATGCTGCGTGGGGTCTGGGTGCCTTGTTGGCGGGACGTTGCGCGGCTCGCTGCTGTGAGGAGCGGACAGTGTGAGCTGGGTTCATTACCTGGTTGAACCCAGCGAGACATCGCGAATGGACGTGGGAAAGGGGGGGTGCTGAGGGGGCTGCAGCACCCCCATCTGCGAGGCTCCACTAGCCTCGCAAAAGCTACATAACTTTAACAACGGGAAAGCATGACATGGGACCTTTAAACACAAACGGTAAAATAAAAATGACAATTTTTGGTTGAAAGTTCATGGATGTTCTGTTTATGTATAAGGCAGGCATTGACTTGTATTCTTTATCATATTTTGGTGAGACACTCCCGCTTCTGCTTATTTTTCTCTTAATTTGCTGTGCCTGCCGTTTGCTGTTTTTGCAAACTCAACACATCCTCTGTGTTAACCTGCTGTTTTATAAATTCAGCAATTCGCACTTTTGCCAAAGAACCAAAAAGAGTCATGTCATACTCATCACTCTGCTGCTCTTGAGCTAAACTAAAACGCTGTTCTCAGTTGCTTATGGACCTCTGCAGATTCTGCTTTGCAGTTTTAACGATTTGTGTTGTTAGTGTTGATAGAGCACTTCCTGTAGAAGTTTCAAATTTAAAAGCTGACTTGAAGGAAACAGAGCATTTGAGCTGTTGGAAGGCTTGTAGCTAAATATCTAGCCTGCATGGATAACAAAGGCTGGTCACTGTATCAGTATGGCTGATAGTTTAGGCCTTTTATAAGTCAAAAGAAGGCTTTTAATGTGATACATCTGAGCCCAAAGCTTAATACTAAAAACAGCAACTGGAATTTATTTGTGAGTCTTTGGAATAAAATAACTCAGAAAGAGGGAATTACTTCTGTTGAACTGATGGAGTAAGTACCCCCCCTCCCTCCACAGACATACAGAGCTTCTCATTTTAGTAACTGTAATGATTCGTCCTTAAAAGTTGTTTACCTGTTGGCCTTCTCCGACTTTCAAACGTTCAGCTTGAGTTCTGACTTTAGTTCAGTGTAGTTTATACAACCAGGAAACCTGCCTTTTTAAACAGTTACATTAATGCAAAGAAAGAGAATTTCTCAGTGGGGCTCCATTCAGCAGCACTTAACATTTCCTTATTCTGGTACAATGGTGGAACTAAAACATCTTCCACGAACCTCCTCATCTGTATTTCATAACTTTGTGACTCACACTTCAGACGAGCTGTGCTACATGGCTGCATATCTCCTTTGCCTCTTCCACTCGTCTCTGTCTCTCTTGTGGTGGGGCGCAGACGAGGAAGGAGGAGGAGGAGGCTGGGCTGGGTTTTATCGTACCTGGAGGAGAACTCACTAAAGTGGGCCACGGTTATTCACCAGCTCCCCTCTTCCCTCTGGAGACCCTGTGGATCTGCACACGACTGTGAATCCCACAGGACTCTGCTCTTTTCCTATATCTGTGCTTTATTCTTTTTCTATCTCTGCACATTTCTCTTTCTGTCTCTCTCAGCGCCAGGCTTTTATTGTGGCCTCTCGCTTCTCGCTACGTCTCATGTTTCCTCCTCTGCCTCAGTCTGTGGGGATGATTTTCTGCTGGATAGCCTACTAATTCAAACCTCCTTCCACAGAGACTTTGCATACTGTACAGGGAAGTGTCTCTGTGTCGTAAGAGTTCCAATATCCGCAGTGACCCCCTTTTTCCTAACTTTCTTCTCTTCTGTTGTCCCTCCTCGGTTCAGGGTGGACCCGATGCCCCATGACTCGCCCAAACCCCCCGGCTACACCCGCTTTGTGTGCATCTCCGACACTCACTCCCGCACCGACAGCATCCAGATGCCGTACGGAGACGTGTTCATCCACGCCGGAGACTTCACCGAGCTGGGACTGCCCTCTGAGGTCAAGAAGTTCAACGACTGGCTAGGTTAGCATCCATGTTGTTGCTCTGTGTCAAGGCCCCGCTTTCTGGAACTAGGTCCCTTTGTGACGGTTTATTAATTGATTAAGGTCAGTGCCAGGCTAAATATACTCACTCTGGCTGCTATGCTGTGAGAAAACTTTCAGAAAGAGAAGATTCTTTTGAGTTTTCAGGATGTTAATCTACAATGCACATTTTTTTACTGTTATTAAACACAACCCTAGCAGTGTTTTTTAGAACACTGTTTGCAAATCCACTTTACCGATGATGGTTTTCATAAGCAAACAAACATTCCTAATAGATTTCATGCTTACTGATGAGATTGTCTTCTTTTTTGAGTTCAAAGAACATCTGAGAATAGTCAGCGACACATTTTGCAAATGTAAAATGTATGTCTAAATGTTCTGACAACAAACACAAAGGAGAGTTTTAATATAACTGCACTTCCAGCCAATGAAACCTTTGGAAACATCACAAACATGACTGGATGTTCATTGTGATGGACAAGAGGTATTTTCAGCTTCATCTTCTTTCCGTACATATGAGTTAAAACCAACAGCCAAAACAAATCCTAATCAAAAGCCGATGCAAGATTTACAATACAGACCCCTGTATTGTAAAGAAGGCCTTTTATGTAAAGCTGTGTTGAACATGCAGAACCCACAGTATGGTCCTTTAACTGTGATGTGGTGCGGGGGGGGGAGTCTGGCTTGTGTTACGCTCCTCTCAGCTCTGACAGAGGCTGCAGGGAAGTCCGGGTTCATATCTGTGTAGTTTAACAATGACAGCGACCCTTTGTCTGGAACAAACCACTGAAACAAACCAGGCAGGGTGCAGGCTTTCAAAAGCCTAAAGGATAGAGTACATGAGCCTTGCATAGTTTTCAAATTGACGTCAAGCCACGTTTTTGACACTTAATTTACTTACACTCTCTAACTGCTTGTCTGTAAAGCCAGTTATCTTTGTTAAGAGCTTTTGATGCCTTATGAATAACCATGCCTATGAGGGTTTGCGTAAACGTGTCATTTAGCTATGTCGACCCTGTTGAACCCTGTTTAGACGTCACTAGAAGCACACAAACTCTTTATTCTTGATATTTCTTTGCGCACATTTTTTAAACTTTTACTCATTAATCCATATACAACAAGTAAAGGAGGTCTTAATCTTACTGTGATGAGAAGGCCATCTCGATGCGTGTGCAAGTTTGAAGGTTGCACGCCATTCTGAAGCTGATCAAAGTCTGCCTTACTTTGCTGGTATGTGCGTACATTTGGTGGGTTAGGCATTACGAGTAGTTGAATTGTAGCTGCCTTGCTCATGGTTAATATGTCTGTCTGCACTTTCTCTGGTCTTCATCAGTGAATGGAGTTTGCTCGGTTGACATCCTTTTACTCAAATGTCCCTTAAATCAGGGGCGACTGTGGCTGTAGTGCGGTTGTCTTTAAATTGTGGGTTTGATCCAAGCCCCTGCAGTCAACATGTGGATGTATCATTGGGCAAGATGCGTAACCCCGGGTTGCTCCTGATGGTGTGGCCAACGGTGTATGAATGTGTGTGAATGTTAGCTTCCAAGTGGCACCTTGCTCTGTATGAGTGAGTTGTGAATGATTGCTTGTAAATGTAAAGACTGGATAAGTGCTATATAAATACAGTCCGTTTACCAAACGTCTTTCTGCTTTACATGAAGGCTTTATAAAAAACAGATGTAGTTGAGGCTTTGGAAAATAACTGGTAAATGGACATAGAGTTTTGGGAAAGCTGTCCAGTTTATGTACGATGTAGGATTACTATAATGTGATTTTGCATTAAAGGTTTGCATATCAGTCATATTTAAATGTGTCTGGTTGACACTATGGAGAGCAGGCTATTTCTTGTTCAGATTTCAGCGGTATATTCCCGAGCTGTTTTCCTTTGTCGGGCAGGGGAACTTTACCTAGCTCAGACTTTTCTGCCTCCCCTGGAAGCTGCTTATCTCTGTACTGAGTTGGGAAGTGTAAGTCTTATCATTGCTATACGTGATATCTGTTGGAAACCGGAATAAGGTGACCTCGTACGAAGCCGAGCGGCAGGAAAACTGTTGAATCGCTGGATCTACAGCTGTCGAGTTAGCGTAGCAGCCGCGCTATCACCGCTATCATCGCCATTGTCATCGACGTCATCACCACGGGCACAAAGCTCTCCAGGAGCGGAGGAAGCATGTTGGCGGGCCTTTGTGTGTTCATCTCTTTCTCTAAAGGGAAGTGAACATAGGAGGGAGGGAGGGGGGGAGATAAGGGGAGAACTTGTTGTCCTTCCCCTCCTCACACACACACATCCAAGCTGCAGGGAGCACGAGCTGCAAATCCGCTAGCCCGCACTCCAGCGGCGAGAGAGGCAACGGGAGAGACGGGAAAGAAAAGATAAACCGAGCCAAACGTGCCTGCTGCTGCCTCTGAAGTCTCTCTCTTCATCCCTTCCTCCCTTCCTCCCTTCCTCCTCCTCTCCTTTGCCTCTCCACTTCCTCCTCCCTTGCAACTCTGCCAGCTCTTCCTCTTTCTCTTGCCTGCCTGTATAAATATTTATAATCTGCCTATTCCTATTCTTTCTCTCTTTCATTCCCTCCTGCTCCCAGTCTCTGTCACACACACACACACACACACACACACACACACACACACACCGTCCAATTCTGTAGATGAATGTAACTCCCGCTGTTCAGTGTGTGCAGAGCAGATTTACAGGGAGATGGTATCCATTACAGAGAAGTTGGTCAGGTAATTCCGTCTGCTCCCAAACGTCCTACTCTTTCATGGCGTATCTTCTCAATCTTTTTTTGTTTCCCTCTTTTATTTCCTTCCACAAACTCATTCCTCCACCTCTTCTCTTCTCTCGCTCAGCCCTCGGTGGCAGGTCTCTGCGATTCTTCCCCCAGTTCTTATTTTTAGCAGGAAGTCAGTCAGGCTCTCGGGGGCCGCTGGCAGCTGCTCAAGGCTTTGTCAGGAACGGTGAGCGCTGCAGGAGAGGAGGAGAAGAGAGGAAAGAGGGAAAAGAGGGGAGGACTGGAGAGGCAGGAGATGGGATTCATGCAGGGAGAAAGGAAGTTTGAACATGAGGGGATGGCAGGGGGAGAGGAGGAGGAGGAGGAGGAGGAAGAAGAAGAAGAGGAGGAAGAGGAGGAGGAAGAGTTCTCCTCAGAGGAGGGTTAGGTAAACTCACAGCTCTGGAGACTGATGCTAAACTTCTGGTGTGTGTGTGTGTTCTGGAACATAGGTGTGAAGGACTTGAGTTTGAGACTACCTTAGTCTTGTTTGCTTTTTGTGGAAACAAATGTGGTTCTTACTAATATATTGAATTAATGATTGATTTAATTAATTAAAGGTGGGGTAGGTCATTTTGGAGAAACCAGCTCGAGTGCGCTAGAATTTGAAAATACACAGCCGGAAAAAATCTGCCGCTTCCTTACAGAGCCCCTCCTCCAACACACACGAACGTGCACCTGACCAATGAGGGCACGAGAAAAGTTTGTGCACAGATGGAAGGCTAAAATGATTGGTCGTGCTTTTTACAGTACTACGGCTTTTATGGATTTTTTGTCAAAGCACTTTAGATATTCATTGCTATCGGGATGTTAAGAGCATTCCNGGCCAATGAGGGCACGAGATAAGTTTGTGCACAGATGGAAGGCTGACAGGCAGGTAGGCCATCCAGTTACTTTAGCCGGGCTGGCTAAAATGATTGGTCGTGCTTTTTACAGTACTACGGCTTTTATGGATTTTTTGTCAAAGCACTTTAGATATTCATTGCTATCGGGATGTTAAGAGCATTCCATGGAATATAACTAAAAGTGTATCTCGAGCCGGTTTCTCACACTTACCTACCCCACCTTTAATAGGAAGAAAATACAATATATTACACACATCCTCTGATTTCTGTCATATACGTGAGATTTCTACAGTTTGATATGGTTATATCTAATTATTGTTAAGACGTAATTCTGTTATTGCTAGTTTAAAATCCCATGTTTGCAAATGTTTAGGTCCCAAATCATAACATTTAACTAAACTTCTTATGTTATTTATGAAGATATTAATGCAGTGAAACAATTCACTTGTATGCAGACATTTATCTAATCTACAAAGGATTTTTTTAAACAATGTTTAATTAAGAAGCTAATACATTCATTAAATCGTAAAAAATGTTTTAACGGTGTTTATTTTCTTCTAAATCTTTTCAGTTTGTTTACGTGTGTTTGTTTGTGTTTTGTATTTTCAAGGTGTTAAAAACACATTTTCTGGTGATCACATTGCACAGCCTGAAAAGCAGTGATAGCCAACAAGTAGTAATGTTAGCGGTGTTGAAAAGCTGCCATTTGTGCAGAAAGAGAGCGTGGGATTGTGGGAGATGGAGGCTGATCGCGCGGGACAGGTGAGAGCAGAGATTCATAAAGAGTAAAGCAGTGAAGAAAGAGGTGTTATTGAGGGCGATGGGCAGAGCTCGAGATGTGAGCAGCAACACTTCACTCCAATTGTCTCCAATAATGGCCTCTTTGATCAGGCTTCCAGCACACACTCCAGCCGTGAGCACACACACACCCACGTGGATTTCGTAAGACGAGCCGACTGGAAGTGTTTGTTTGTGTGCTGCTCTCGACCTGAGTGACATCTGTGTTCATGCTGTGTGATAGCGCAGCGGGAACATATACTGCAGTGTACGTTGTTTAAATGTGGATCTCATTGTGCTGCGGAGTTAACGTCAGGTCAAGAGAGGAGCAGCTTTCATTCTTAAAGGCTTTGTTCTCCCGCTCTTTCCTTCTGTTTGTCTGACTTCAGTTCAGCGGCTTCACTGCCATCACACAAACACTGAAGATTCACAATGTGAAGAGACAGATCAAGTAACAACCAACCGGCTATTTGCGGTGTTTCTGTCTTTTTGAGAGTACATCCAATGAATGTTTGAAATATTAAAGGGATATTCCTCTCTTTTATGAACTCCACTCAGGGGGTGAATTCAGGTAACATCAGCACTTATTTGTTTAAAGTAGCATTTTGTTTTAAAGGGGCCCTATTGTGCACATTTGTTTTGGTTCATACTTGTATTTAATGTCTCTACTGTGACGTGTTTCCATGCTTTCATGTTCAAAAAGGTCTTCATTTTTCTCATACTGCCTGTGCTGTAGCAACCCCTTTTCACCCTATGTCTGAAACCAGAGCCCAGTCTTGCCGGCTCTTGTGATTGGTCAACCGATTAGGGATGTCCCGCCCTATCATGTACAATGTTAATGAGTCCAGAGTTTCAGGCTTTCTTAAAGTAAAACGTGTGCAATAACTGAGGAGAGATTGTTTAACACACACTTTCTTTTTGGTATTGATATTATGTATCAGATATGACAGCTGGCCTCTTGCTCTTTCTCTGACTCAGGGCTGCAAGGTCTTTAGTTTCTTTGCTTCAACTCTTTATTTAGCGCCTGCTGCACACTGCTTCCCTTAACTAGTGAATAATAGATAAGTGACGACGATGATGAAATTGTACTGTAGGCGCTTTAAATGTGTGTTTTTCCTTTTGTGTGTGTGTTTGCGTGTATGTGTGTCTGTGTGTGTCGGCCCTATGTCTCCGTCCTCTGTCAGGTATCTGTCCCCACCTCTTTACCTCGCTCTTCCCCAGTTTGCTCCCTTTAGCTTAGTAACAGTGAGGGCATTAAACTTTCATGACTGCTGTCTTTTTCTAGCACACTTCTTCTCTCCTCATTTGCCCCCTGCCTTCCTTTCTCCTTCCTTACCCCTGCATTTTTCTTTTTCCACTCAACTCTTTGTCTCTTCTTTTTCCGTCCTTCGCTAAACTTCATAACTCTCCATTTTCATTCTCTGCTTTCCTTCCTTCTCATCTTTTCTTTGGGAAAGCCCCCCCCCCCCTTATGTTTACCCAGCAGTGAGTGCTGCTGGAGGAGAGCATAACGAGGAGGTTTGACAATCCTTTATGGTTTTTAACATTGGGGAAACTCGACAGAATTTCAAGTGACTGTCAATTTAAGCAAACCGTTTTCCCATCTGTCCCTCGCTGCTTTCGAGTCGTCTATTTGCACACTTGAAAGACCTGTTCTCTCTGTGTGTGTGTGTGTGTGTGTGTGTGTGTGTGTGTGTGTGTGTGTGTGTGTGTGTGTGTGTGTGTGTGTGTGTGTGTGTGTAAAATGCTGTTGCATCCCCAATTTCCTCCCCCCCCCCTTCAAGTTGGATTTGTGGATATCTCTTATAAAATGATTGAGGGCTTTCTCGTAATTGTCCTTTCTCCTTTTTACATCTCAGATTTGTTTTCTGGGTTAGCGTCGATGCATTTCATTTGCTGTCTGCTAACTGTTGCTGAATCTGCTTTAGACAGCAACCAAACAGAGGCCAAGCTTTTAGGAAGTGAAACAAAGAGCAGAGTGGAGTCAGTGTGTGTGCAGATGCATCAAACACACAAGTATATTCAACATGCTAATTGCAGTAGACATTGGGCAGTAATTGTAAGCACATTTTAACAACCATCCACCATTTTAAAAACTCCTCAGCGAAAAGAAATGCTTTAAATATCCAGCTAATCATTTTGATTATTACATTTTCCAGTTGAGTTGATCAATGAGCAGAGGCTTACATTTGATTAAAATCCATATTAGTGAACAATTGAAAGCTAGCCACATCTTTAAAGTTCCATCGTGAGCAGTATGAAAACGCTTCTGTTTACACACGTTTTTGGTTTCTCTAAGTGTTCCTGGTGAACCTCTTAGCTTATGACTTCATGTGAATCAATGTCCGCACCCTTCGCGGGTAACATGGAGCAAGCAAGAAAAGGAGAAAAACATATAAAAACACTTAACATCTTGAGCACTTGAGTACACATCCTGATAATTTCAGATCTGCATTTCGGTGGGAAGAACCATCTTCGACAAACGCATAATGGTACATTTCAGTGTGAGAGTTGCAGTTGAACATCAGCTAAATGTGGCGTCAGTAGAGATCCAGTTTAAAAACAGACACGGGACAGATGGCAAGTGGCCAGTTATTGAATTCATCAAAAGGCCCTCGTCGCTTGTTCTGAAAGTTGCAGCTTAATCTTCAACCACATTATCCTGGAGGCGACGTCGTCACACTGATGTGGAAGTGGAGCAGACAGGATGAAAGAGACAAAGATGGAGTGTAGGGAAGAGACGGAGAACAGAGAGACCACCTACGAGGCCGCTTGATGATGTGCTGTATCTGTCTTTGTCACTTTGTGTGTGTGTGTGTGTTAATGTATATTGTGTGTGTGTAATTCATTATGTTCAGTGAGGACATAGTGAAGTGTTCCGAGGTGCTGCTGTACTCAGATAAAATGTGTGTTTTGGATGCGTGGCACAGTAGGTGGTGTTTGTGTACGCCGTCTCATAATTGCTGGCTGTCTTTGTTTTGCGTCTATGATTGTGTGTGTGTGTGTGTGTGTGATGAGACGCGACGCGACGCAGCGTGTGGGTGGTGAGTTAAATGAAACGTGTGAGTATTAAGTTTAAGCTGAGGTGAGAAGGCAGAAGGCTTCTCTTCCTCCATCATCCATCTTTACCTCCGTCATGTGACATATTGCTTTTTTCTCTTACATCCCTCTCTCTGACTGACACACAAACACACACACACACACACACACACACACACACGCTGTAAAGGAATTAACTCTGATCCGAGCTGAGACTTTAGGTTGTCTGTCTTTGAACATCAGTTGCTTTTGAAGCTCCCCTTTGATTTATTGCATTTCTGTTTCTGCACACACAGATAAATGCCAGCCGGAGCTACACAGGCTATAATCTCGCTGTGTTCTATACATAAAAAGCACATAAGCTGTGGGGAGTATACACATGAATTCAAACAGGTATACTGTAATTGCACGGAAAAGTAAATCTTTCCATTAATTCAACTATAATCAGGCTCTAAATTAAAAGGCCAACTTCCTTTAATTTCATTTTAGCAGAAGGTTTCGTCTTGTATGCATGCATTCACTCATACTGACACACACTGGTATTCATTTAATTCATTATGTGCTGGCAGGATATATTTGGCCCTTCTTTTTTTCAACTGCACACACACTTATTGCATTTTAGACATACACACACACTTTGTTATTAAGTTATTTGGCAGGACATTTTGGTTACTAGTTTTTGGTATCTATGCAGACACACACACTTAGGAATTAACTTAGTCTTGGCAGGCTGGGCATTTTTTTTTCTTTTCTGCATGTACACAAACCCACATATAAAAATACACACACACACACACACACACACACACACACAATGGGCAGTAATCCCCCCTGTACATGCCAGAGATTTGGGCAGAGCAGGGATTTTCCTCTTCAAAGAGCAGACCACCCATCGCAGCCCCGGAACAATGGTGGCCGAACTCTGGAAGACTTCCTGTGGCGCCCCCCCCCCACCACCACCACCACCACCACAAACACACACACACACACATTCATATACTGTAGCCTGTGTTTGGTATAGGCACACATTAGTGTCAAGACACACAAGCAATATGTCCAACACAGGATCATGTAAATACCTGCAGGCAGGATGTGGCATTGTTAAATCACACACACACACACACACACACACACACACAGCGCTTGTAGGAGGACGGAGGTTTTTGTGGTGACAAACTGACAGACAGCAGATCTGTGTGTATGACTGGAGGCTGGCAGACACTTGACAAAAGAGCAAAGACTCTGGGCGAGGAGGGGATTGAAAAAGAACCGGAGAGGGATGAAGGGGCAGAGGCAGAGACTGAAGTCCAGCTGTTTCCACTCATGAACGCAGCCTTGCTTTCACACTGCGCTGTCCCATGTTTCCCTCAAATCCTTGCACTTCCCCTTTTTTCATTTGTTTCTTCTTCTTTTGTGTTTTTCCACGCTGCGACAGAACGCGAGGTGGCCGTCATCCCCGCGCCATTGCTGACTCCCTCACACAGAAATTAAAAGTATTTGTTGCCTAAAAGCAAGCCTTTTGAATTCAAAGACAAAAGATGGCGCGGGCGACAAAGAGCGGCCCGCGTGTTGTGGGGGAATGTCGGCTTAAATGTTTAGATGCCCCCCCCCCCTCTGTCCTTCCACTTCCACCCACATCCTCTTCCCTTTTCTTCTTCGTCTTTTGTCACAGAAGCAACAACATTCATTCTCAATTGACGCAGAAATTGTCTTTTTGTGATTGATTTTTTTTCCCCTTTGTGGTAAACACACAGAAACAGACTGCATTGTTCAATGTCTTTCTCTTATGAGTTATTATTTTTTCGTATTGACGGAAGATGCAGACACACTGTTTCCTGTCAGATTCCACTATGTAAAGTTCAGCTAGTTGGTATTCACGCTCTGTCCTTCTGCAGATTATTTACCAAGGGAAACTTTCAAAAAATTCATACATGAAATTGAAATGTAATTTTCCAAGTAAGAGAGAGAGAGAGAGAGAGTGTGTGTTTGCGCATAAGGATGGGTATTTGTGTCCAGCTGGTGGAGTTTTTTATCTCTCCGTGTGATTTATTTCTCTCTGTTTTACAGTTGGCCGTCAAACTTCATGGGTGAAGAACCGCTAACGTTGCAGAATTTCTGAGGGGACACAGATATTGTTCATTTGCCGAAAAATGTATGAGCACGACGTCACCTTGCCTCGCTGTCTGTTTTCCATAGTGTCGTGCACACACACATGCAGACCCACAAAAGACTTATGCATTCCCCTTACTTATTTTTCACTTACCCCATAGCAACTTGCGTACTTCCTCAGCTTGTTTGACCTTTGGATGATTCCCTTCATTAAATTTCTTTGCTTTTATTTGCAGATACACAGTTTTACTTCTGGATGTAGATGTGCCACCCCTGAGATAATATCCAGTGTCAGACTAAAGGCTTCTTCTTGACCTTACTTCATATATTTTTAATGCACGCTTTGCATTTTTGCCATGCATGCAGTCTCAGCTCTGTCCAGTTTAATATGAATAACTTCACACTCGTTCACTTCTGCTCCGGTCTTCAAAGACTTAAACAACAAGCTTAACAAGTCTCCAGGTAGATGCTGCCCCCCCCCCCCCATGCAGCTTCATAGTTCTATTTCAGTGAGCTTTTACCCAGAAACTGCACAAGGCTGCAGAGAAAAATACATGTTGTATGATAATTGTGAAGCATTTTGTGAGGACGGCATGAGCAGCAATTTAACAAGGTTTGTACATGCTGTAACCCTAGAAATAAAGAGCCTGAGATGGCGAAATTATTTCTACGAAGGCTCATATGATGGAGTCTAATGTGAAAAGGTTTCTGCTGTGTTGCAGAGACTCATCAAAGCCACCGTTTTACGATTTTTTTTTTTAGCAATTTGTTTGCTTTTTTACTTTTAATCTAATCCACAAATTAAGCATTAAACATATTCAGTACCAAGTACACCGAACCAGAGAGAAAAAGTGCTTCTTGGACTAACTTAATTCATCATGTGGACAGAAAAGTGACTCAAAACAATAAATAAGGTGATATTTTGTCAATCTTCCAGCTTTCAGATTTTTCCCATGTGACCGAGTGGACGTAAGAATCCCAAATGTTTTTATTTAGGGTTTATTAGACAGGCTCTGACACAGTTTACAGCACATAGAAAAACTATAAACACATGGTCAATGGAATACTAGTAGATTGTGTCGCACTGAAGACACGGCGGCGGACACATCTTCACTACCTCTAACATCTGAAAATAAATCCTGTGACGGCCCTAGCACAATCACTAGACTCCATATCCGCATTATAATTCCTTGTGCAGACAAAGTACGACAAAACTCAATTCATTTCAAACTTCCATTTTCAAATGATATCAAAGGTTGAGGGATACCACTGATTGTCTCGCTCATTTTGGCAAAAAGCAATTTGTCTAATTGCTGTAAACATTTAAATACTGATGCAACGCTCTGCATGATGGATGATTCTGTTAGGAATGTGTGAATGGAAAATAAGGAGGAACAGCACCTAGATTTCTGACTACGGAAAAAATTTTTTTGGTATTCCTCCGGGTAGTTCTAGCGAGTCACTGTTGAGGCAGGTGTGTGTGTGTGTGTGTGTGTGTGTGTGTGTGTGTGTGTGTGTGTGTGTGTGTAAGAGTAAGAATATTTCTGTCTGAATGTATGTTGTGGGTTTGTAAGTGTGCTCTCACTTGCCTTGGACTGCATGCTGGTGTGTGTGTGTGTGTGCGAGCCTCGGGGTGTGTTCCTGCAGCACAGAGGGGCTCCAGCTGGAGGCTCTGGGTTCCCCCACAACCCCCCCTCCCCCTTTGCACTGTCTGCTCCCCAATCCCTCCTCTTCCGTCTCTCTATCTCGCATCCTTCAATCATCACTTCCTTTATCCTGTTCTCTCCTTCTCTCCTTCACTACATACCTCCTCCTGCTTTTCCCTCCCTCTTATAGCTCATTCCTGTCTCCTCTGCCCTTCAACTATACCTCTTTCCAACCCTTTTTTCAGGCACACCATTTTCCACTCCTGTCTGTCACTTCCTAAATCATTTCATGGGTCCTGCATCCTACTATGACAGAAGTCTATGAATGTGAGTGTATGTGTTTGTGTGTATGTTGTTATCACCCTCACACTTGCTCTAAAAAGTGGTCTGCCCGGCCTTCTTTGAGTGTCGGTTCATCATCATTATTTTATTTTCGTAAAAAGTCGTTTTTTCAGATACATTGACAATTAAACTATTACTGGTTACGCCCTTACAAAAAATAAATCAATTTGATTAAACAGAACTTTAAAACAAATGAGTACGATAAAATCTAAATAAATGAAGGTCATAAAACAAGTTCTTCTTCAACTGTGCCTCTCGCCTTCTCTCATTCTCCATCCTCTTGTCTGACACTGAATTCATCACTTCCTCTCTCTTCTCCCTTCTCTCTTCCTCCATCCATCTGTCTTCACGGCCGATCACTCCGCCATCCCTCACTCCGACTTCATCCTCTCTTTTTCTATCTCTAAGAGGTATAGTCACTGCTGCACGCCTCTCAGCGGGCTCTTCAAGTCCATCCCGCGCCTGAATCGCTTTCACATACATCACATATCCCCGTCCTTACCCCATGCCATCAAACCTGAATTAAATCGTGCTTGCTTCATCCTCCCCAAACTTTCCAAATATGTCACTGCATGCAACAGGGGGGAGGGTAGGGACGGCTCCTTCCTCTTGACACTAATGTGAGTTTACAAGTCATTCGTCACGAGCGCAGCGCACAGGCACCCTCTGTCTGTCTCAGGACACACGTGTGTTTCAATCTTTCTGGAAGAGAAACGGCGACATTAAAATAAAACGGAAGAAAAGGAATGTGGGCATGAAGTTCAGAATGACCATGACGAGTCAATATGATTCATACAGACTGACAGTTAACCTGTTGATCCATTAAAAGAACATGCTTGGGTGAAATGAAATGTCCTGACAGACAGTGGGTCATGCTGCTCTTTCACAGCTTTTTACTTTTGCCAGGCAAAGCCCTATATTCCACTCAAACACTACAAGCAGGATACGAGTCCATCACAATGCATGGAAAATGACTGTGTAAATGTATCAGATTTAGTTTTTTGAGTATGCTGTTAGACATAATAATAGATGAAGAAAAACTGCTGAGTTCTTGCAAAACAACATCAAATACATCCAACAATAATCCATTTTGTTGCAGAGTAAAAGACGCCCATTGGCACACGCGGCCTACTTTATCATACCTAAGAAATCGTAAAGTAACAACAAAACAGCACGCTCTAAAAATGAATCTGTTAAATGTACGCCTTTTCTAGTCGTCCAACATCTAAAAGTGCCTTTAGACTACATTTACCTATTCACATGCACTGCTGCTGATAGCTCTGTCCTGCAAGGTGCTCATTGTCATCTAACGCAACCTACACACGGTTCCGTTGCGTTGACGCTTGCCGGTGGGCATATCTGGCGCTTGGGGTTAACTCGACCAACAACCAATCACATTCATCTCCCGCCCCGGACACACAAAGCACGCGGTTTGATTGGCTAGAACTTGTATGATTTGATTGGCTGGCGCTTCCGTCGACGCTTGAAAAGTTGAACTTTTCTCAACTTTCAGCGCGAGCAACGCAGGCAAAGCGAAGCAACGGAACCACAATGCAGTTCGGCAAAGCTTGACGTCACCCCTTTCAAAGTGAATGGGAAGCGTCTCCGTTGAAGCTTCCAACGGCACCGTGTGTAGGATGCGTAATGCCCATTCATTCACACACTGATGGCGATGCCTTCAGGAGCAGTTTATGGTTTAGTATCTTGCCCAAGGACTCAACATGTGGACTGGAGGAACTAGCGGCCCAAACTGTCAAACTTCCTGAGCCATAAGTTCCCTATAGTATACATTACAATACAATGTATAAAAGAAGTAGGAACCTTTCCTTTCTAGCCTCACCACATGTTGAGTTCAGTTCCATAAATGTAAAATAAAGATTAATACTCCATCACTTTCATACCACTGATTATAAGGTATTATCTGTCTTTCATTTATTAGAGCATTTCTATAACTGGACTGAATTGCAAATCTGAAATTAAACATTCACACAGAAAGTGCATAAAAGTTTCACCAGCTGGTATCACAGATCTTGGACGCTCAGGATCTCAGAACTACTCTCTACTCATAATTTAACAACTAAGATTCTCGGCAGCAGAAAGCAGTCTGGCAACCCTGCAGATTATATCTGAGTCATTATTAATAATGAGCTGCATGGACGGGACACGCAGCTCTGCACATTCATGCATCGCTCCTCCACCAGCTCAAACACATGCCATGAGTACGAGAGTGTCGCTCTGTGCTAGCGTTTCATCAGAAGCCAATTAGAAACAAAATGTCTGATTTAATGGATTAGTCGATCAACGGAACATTTTACAGTAAACATTTTGAATACCAAGAAATTCAAGGAAGACACCTGGGCTGTCGGGTTGTATGGTATGCATGTTTTACTTTTTCAATGTATTTTCTTCATCAGTTAGCAGAGGTATTAAAGGTCACCTATTATGCAAAATCCACTTTTTCACGTCTTTTATACATAAACATGTGTCCCCTCTGAGATTCAGAAAGTTTCAGGAAAAAAGACCCCCTCTCTTTTTGTCCTGATCCATTTATATAAAAGCCTGTCTGAAAATGAGCTGATCAGATTTTGGCCACTGTGATGTCACAATGTTTTGGGTTGTGCAACCATTAGCCAATCACCAACCAAGATAACACCCCACCACCTTATCACCTGAATCTCCTCCTAGAGCACCATTGTGTTTTAAAGAAAAACATCTCTCAGAGGGGCGTGGCCAGCAGCAGCTCATTTGCATTTAAAGCTACAGACACAGAATCAGCGGTTTTGAAACAGAGGGGTGTAGGACATGCTACAATGATCTGTTTGGTGTTTCAAGCCAAAGTCTTTAGAGACATGTTTTGTGTATATCTGGGACCTATAATATATTGTTCAAAAAGAGTATACTAGGGGACCTTTTTAATAAAAACACTATTGGTTGAAGCCTTACACCACACAATGAAATAATAATAATAATACCCTAGAAAATATTGAAGCTGTTTGATTAAACACTTGGACTTGGGTTAGTTTCTGTTTATGTAACAGGCTTATCACCAGAACACACAAAAGTGGCTTATTATATGCAGGCATAATTTGGCCTCTTTAAATGAATGACGAAGCTCTCATCTCTTACTGTAATCCTTTCCATGGAATTTATTTTCATTTTTTTACTTCTGAGTTTTTTTCAAATCGCGTCAATATAGTTATCGTGAATGATCTTGAACACGATTATAATGGTTTCATAGGTTTGGGTCTTTTTCATATTTAAATATAGAATATCACCAGCCTTTTACTGTAGTAGTGTATTTTCCATTCACCAGCAGACATGTACATCCTTGACAGGAGACTGTATGGCTTGGGGGTCTTTGACAGATGCTCTGAATAATTGAATTTTAGGGGTCAGCTCTAATAACTTTGAAACTAATAGACTTGATTTCCAAATCCTAGGGGGGTATTTTGCAGGGTCAAGATATAAATCTGTTCATCGGTTAAGTACTGTCTAGTCTTTGAGTATAAGGTAGAAACAGCAGGTGAGGAGAATTGTTGGAAAAGCGTCTGTATGCGTTGGGACTAATGGGTTAAATCTCTTTAAATGTTATAAAGATGGTCTCTGAGGGATGTAAGACGGGCAGGGGAGACGGACAGCTTGTTCACAGACTCGCACACAGACAGATCGACACAGGGATGAGAGAGACAAAGTAGTCTGTTTGTGGACGGGGGATTTGCGAGGAGCGGCGGGGGAGAGAACGCGAGAAACCCTCTTTTCTTCTTTAAATGAAAACGGCAGAAATGTATCGCTCCCCACTGCTCCGCGTGGAATAATTAAGGACGGAGATGCAAAAGACTCCTTAATTAGATTTTTTAATTATTGAGGATTCACTTCTCCTTCTATAGTGGCCCAATTAAGAAACCTCATCAAAAACTAAA